TATATATATATATATATATATATATATATATACATTAGGACCTGGGGCGATCCCTTTCTATCGGCCAACTATGATGCAGAAGCAGACGTCGTTTTGAATCAAAGTAAGACTTTCTCAATGCATGCATCCCCCCACACATCTATGCATGCATGCATGCATGCATGCATGCAGCAGCAAGAGAAACAAAGCTTATGCATGCATGCATCACCAGAGAACTGCGGCAGCTGCTACGCCTTGTCTGCTGCTTTTGTGCTGCAGCGGCGATTTGAAATTTTATTGAAAAAATTATTTCCTCAATTTAATAAAAATAATTTTTTTTCTTTTCCTTTGTCACCTCAGACGGTGTTAAGTTGTTCGGTATGTTTATATTATTTTATTTTATTTTATTTTATTTTGTTTTATTTTGTTTTGTTTTATTTTGTTTTATTTTATTTTATTTTGTTTTGTTTTGTTTTGTTTTGTTTCTTTTTTTTGTTTTATTTTTGTTGCTTTTATTCTCGTTGTTCTACCTATTTTCTTTATTTTTATTATTATATTTTTGTTCATTTTCTTATTATTTTATTTATTTTACTTGTTTTTATTATTTTATTTCATTGTTTTTATTTTTATTATTTTGTTTGTTTACTGTTTTTATCCTATTGTTTTTTGTTTTTATTCTTATTTTTCTTTTATGGTTTTTATTTTATTTTATTTTATTTTTATTTTATGATTTATTTTATTTTATTTTACTGTTTTATTCCGTTTTATTTTATTTTATTTTTTTTTCATTTTATGAGTGTATTTTATTTTTTAATTTTATTTAACTTTATTGTATTATATTGTATTTTCTTCTTTCCTTTTCTTTTCTTTTCTTTTCTTTGATTTTACTTTATATATAAACAAAACTATATTCCTACATTTTTATTTATATTTTTTTCTTTTTCTCTGCAGCCATTCAACCAGGGCTGCGACGGTGGTTATCCTTTTCTCGTCGGCAAGCATGCGAGAGAGATAGGGATAGCAGCAACAGACTGCCAGCTCTATCAAGCCACCCACAACCCCAACGAGGCCCCCTGTCCTATGCGGTTCGTTTCTTCTATGCATGCATGCATGCATGCATTCATGCATGCATGCGTGTGGTGGTGTTTCTATTGTATATATTGCTGATTGCTTGCATGCATGCATGCATTGTTGCTGTATATATTTCTAATTCCATGCATGCATGCATGCATGCATTGTTCCAGTATATATTGCTAATCGCATGCATGCATGCATGCGTTGTTGCTATATATATTGCTAACCGCATGCATGCATGCATGCATGCATGCATGCATGCATGCACGCATGCACTGAGTAATCTATGAATTTGTGTGTCCTTACAGCGTTGGAACGTTGCGGCGATCTCCCGCTGAATCTGCACCGGGCTGCGGCCCAGAGGACCGATGGT